AATCAAACTGAAACTTCTCTAAACTGTCAAGAGTCACCAAAACTCAGACTTTTTCTACCTGCCCTCTTAACAATAGTTTCCATAGTTTCCGACAAACGGTTTAGTCGTCTTAAGCCTCCTCACTCTGTTCTGGCTGTCTAGCAGGTCAACTTCAACATTCGGATGGTTGAGTGTTTCTCTTCATGTCTCTTGGCTGCTATCGCTATTTCCTCCTTGACTGTCCGCACCTACAGCTCAGGATGCAGGTCCTCATTTCGAACATTCCAGAGTGCATTCACAATGTTCTTTAGTACCCGGTTCTGGAACACTTGTAGAATTGTAATCGCTTCGTTTGGTCAACCCCACAACGGAAGACCAAATGTCCACACTGGTTTAAGGACTTGTTGGTAAACCAGCAGTTTGTTTTTGATGGAAGGCTGCGAACCTCTTCCCAGCAGCCAATACTTACATGCTTTTATATTTAAGCTTTAGTTGTTCAGTTTTCATTTTTACGTCAGCTTTCCATCTAAGCTTGGCATCAAGTCCTAAATATTTAGTAGTTTCTTTGCGAGGAATTATATTGTTACTTAATGCCACCGCAAGATGATTTATATTTCTATTTGTAAAATTGATGTGAACTGATCATATATTATTATGAACTGCTATGTCTTATACTATTTTCCATGACTAACTTAGATCAACTAAATTGCAAAAGTATAAATTGCTCGCAGACGCTTCATTTTAGAAAAAAAAACCCTAACCCTAACGATTCTGCTGTGGCTTCTTTTATAGTTAAATCATGCTGATCAACGCAGAAACGATACTACGTGTTATTTTATAAGAATAGTCGGCATAAGAGGCCATACAATTAGGCTCATTGGGCGGTGTGTTTAAATTTAAACATGTTAATGCACGAATTTTTCAGAGAGAACATCTGAAATAAACTTACCTAATCAAAATAAATAAAACTATAAACTCCCCATAAAAATGGGTAATGGGAAGTTTCATTTAGAGAAACATCGTTGATTACCACCACACATATATTGGAAAATAATTTGAAAATGCTCCTTTATTGAACACCAAAAACTTCCATAGGATAAATTTCCTTTAAAAGTTCATATTTACTGAGAATATTACTGTCGAACTTTGACTTGAAATTAGCAGCCTTGTATATAAAGTTTCGAAATTGTCTAAGTTTACATTTTTTAGAATTGGTTGAACGAAAGAAATTCGGCTGTTTTGTTCTCTTTCAGCAGCTAAATTCATTGTGGGTTTTGTTCTCTTCTTCTTCTTCTTCCTCGTACGTTAGGACTCAGAATCCTGTGTTTTTCTTCAACTTCCTAGTCCT